GCAGCCGCATGCACCATGGACGTACGGGCGACGTCCATGACAATGCCGATGCGGCGCTCAGCAATCCCATTCTGCTGTGGAGAGTCCGGAAGCGTGAAGGTCTGGCGGATGCCTCGTGCCCGACAGTAGGCTCGCAGAAGGCCGGAGGAGAACTCTCCGCCTCTGTCCGAGTGCAGACGCAAAACAGGAAAGTCCGAGCCGAAGCTCCGCCTGAGCTGGAGACGAGCTGCGCGGATCCAGTCGATCAACACATCAGTGACCTCACCCTTGCTGCGCAAGGGGAAGACTGTGGTGTAACGCGAGTAGTCGTCAACCACCAGCAGGAAGTAGCGCTCGTGACCCTGTCCACGGACGCGGGCTGGGCTTCACACGTCCATGTGAAGCGTCTGCATCGGGGCCTCCGTCGGAGGAAACGGGGAGGAGTGAGGGGTAGCCCGCAGGCGACCCTCGACACAGGGGACACAGGGAGGGCCAGGCCTCGGAGGAAGGGGAGGGAGGGACCGGGGAAGGCCAGAGACAAGAAGGCGAGAGGCCATGCCCCGGAGACGAGGCAGGGAGGGGTGACCCATCCTGTGGTGCCACAGGAGGGTCTCGTGGGACAGGAGGCGACACGAGCAGGGGGCAAACTCAGGACCAGACCTGGACGCTGCAGCAAACACCTGACCCGACGCAGCTACCTGACCAGACGCAGGAGGAGGAGACGGAACAGTGAGTGTGTACAGGCTCGACCCCGGCCCACGTGTGAACGTGGTCAAGTGTCGACCCGTGTCCGCGTCCGTGCAGTGGGTGTCCCGTCGGCGTGCAGGGGTGAACTGGTCGACCCCTGCATCCTGTAGGTCAGCACCCGCCACCAAGTTCGTAGAGAACGAGGGGAGGTAGAGACCGGACAGGGCGCCAGACGGGACCGCAGGGCACGGCAGGACAGTGGAGTAGCGAGCCAGAACAGGACCCCCAGAGGGGTCTGCCAGGGAGACCGCCACTGGCCGACTAAGCGGCGTGAGTGTGGTGTGGTCTCGAAAGAAGGAGCGAGACGCCCCTGAGTCAAGAGTGAAGGTGAGAGAGGGCGGAGCCGACGCAGTACCTGAGAGAGCAGACTCACCTGCACCTGAGGACACAGACTCACTGGCACCTAGAGCGACAGCCTCACCAGCACCTGGAGCAGCAGCCTCAACAGCACCTAGAGCCGCAGTACCAATGCCCGGGTCGGGCGGGAAACACCGGTAACAGTCACCCTCCTCACTAATAGTCACAGCATACATGGCAGCAAGAATAGCATCAAAGTCAAGATCAAAGATAGCTACTCCTGCCCTAGACAGCTGGTCCCAGCGAGGGATCTCAGAGGCGTCAGGAAACTGGCGGCGCCAAGCGTCAGTCAGGCGGCCGAAGCAGCGCTGGGCGGAGTGTGGACCACCACACGGCTCACCCGCACGGTCGCCAGTGCGCAAGATGTAGGTGCACGGACCAGTACCCCCACCCCTCTAACGTGCAGCGTACCACTCACGGAGCTGCTGCGGGGAGAGGGTCTCCTGACCACGCTGCTGCCGCTGCTGCTGGCGCTGACCGCCACCGGAGCCACTCCTCTGCGACGAGCCACGACCTCCTCCGCAGCCTCCTCCGCCGCCGCCGCCACCACCTCCGCTGCCACCGCCACTCCCACCGTCGCTGCCGCCACCGCCGCCTCCGCCTCCACTCCCACCACCACCGCTGCTGCCACCCCCGCCTCCACTGCCGCCGCTGACACCGCCACTCCCGCCACCACTCCCGCTACCACCCCCACCTCCTCCGCAGCCTCCACCGCCGCCTCCACCGCCCCTGCCGCCTCCACCACCGCTCCTGCCCCCCTTGCCCTTGCCAGAGCGACGTCTCCCACTGGGGGCAGACGCCGCACCGACCGACTCAAAACCAACTAGGTCGGCCGTAGCAGCAGAAGCGACAGAGGGCAGGAGGGGGGAGGGGGAACACCCCTCAAAGATGGGGGTGCGCGGGTCACCACGAGAGGCCCCTACAGCGAGAATGCTCTTCTCGGCTGCTAGGAGGGACTTCTCGAGGAGGTCAACAGTGAGAGTGGTGGGGCAGACTGAGAGTAAGTCGTCCCTGACTCCGCGAAGGGAGTCAGGGAGGCGGGTGACAATGTAGTAGAGAGTGAAGTACTGGGGGGGGGGGGTTCTTGGCGCAGAACTCAGCAGGAAGCGCAGCGCGGAAGCGAGCGTCACTAGTGCGCAGGTGGGTAATGAGGTCGGCGACTGTGGCAAAAGAAGCAAGGTCGGGAAAGAGGTACGGTAGCATGAGGCGGCTCAGTGCAGCAGTGGCAGGGGTGGAGTAGCGTGCAATAACGGCGTCGTACAAGGTCTGAGCACTCTTGTATGACCCAAAGTGTGCACGCTCAGAGGGAGGGAGGTGGCGACGCACAGCAAGACGTGCAGCAGCATCGCGTGTGGCCCACTGTGAGCGAACAGTGGCATCCTCAGTAGCAGCAGGGGCGGGAGAGGCACCAGAAGTGAGATCAAAGAGAGAGAGGCTGTCAGCTCTGTCGCACTGTAGGAAAAGCAGTAGGTCGTCTACCCACACGTCAAAGTCGATGGCTCTGCCCTCAGCGTCGAAGGTGAGGACACTGGGGGTAGCCATGACAGCAGTAGGGTGAGGGCAGTGCGCAGAGTAAAGCTCAGTGCTCACCAGACAGGGCAGTGCAGGCGGCTCGGGCGGCTCGGGCGGCTCGGGCGGCTCGGGCGGCTCGGCAGCTCGGGCGGCTCGGGCGGCTCGGCTGCTGGGGCGGCTCGGCTGCTGGGGCGGCTCGGCTGCTGGGGCGGGGCCGGGAGATGAAGTGGCGGGGCCGTCAGGGGTAGTGGCGGGGCCGATAGGTGCAGTGGCGAGGCCGTCAGTTGCAGCGGCGGGGCCGTCGGAGGGGACGGCGGGGCCGTCAGGTGCAGCGGCGGGGCCGTCTGAAGCAACGGCGGGGCTGGCAGAGGGGACGGCGGGGCCGTCGGGTGCAGCGGCGGGGCCGGCAGAGGGGGACGGCGGGGCCGTCAGAAGGGGACGGCGGGGCCGTCAGGTGCAGCTGCGGGGCCGGTAGGTGCAGCGGCGGGGCCGGCAGGTGCGACGTCGGGGCCTGCAGAGGCAGGCGATGAGGCCGCGCGGGCAGCGCTAGGGGGGGGGGGGCGCGAGGGCGGCGCGACGCAGCAGAGCCGCGAGGGCGGCGCGACGCGGCCGTAAGGCCAGCGCGACGTGGCCCGGGCCGCGCGCGCGAAAAAAAAAGGGTCGCGCGCGCGACTCGCGGGGGCCACAAGGCCAGCGCGAGAAGGACTAGGGGGAGCGCGCTTCGGGGAGAGAAGGGCGCGCTCCGGGCAGCGAAAATTTCGTGGGTGGGCCCTTAAAAAATGGTCCTTAGGAAGGACCCGCTCTATACCATGTTGAGATTAGAGAGAGAATGAGTGCACTATGAAATGAAACAAGTACAAGTACCAACCCTAATTGGGTTGTACCCCCTATGGGCTACCCCACTACAGCCTAAATATATGCATCAGTAATATAATCATCTGACAGCCCCACCTGCCCCTCCTGCCCCTCCTGATCCCCCGTATCCCCCTGCCCCAGGGGCCGCCATGCCTTCCCCCCTGCCCCCCCCTCCACTCCCCCCAACGTCTCCCGCTCCGTCTCCGCCCCCCCCACCCGCATAATACGGGTTTGCATACCCCTAATTGGCCTCTGAATCAGCCCCTGCTGCTGCTGCCGCAGCTCCAGTATACGCCTGGCCAGCGTTATCAGCCCCACTGGCCTCGTTCTTATGCCTGAACCAGAGGAAAAGACCGACCCCCACGACTAGTAGCACCAGCAGCAGCACCCCCACCACGATTCCTATCATTGCCCCCGTTGAGAGGCCGTTAGAGGAAGAGGAGGGGTAGGCATTGGAGGAGGACGGAGGGGGCGGGGAGGAAAAGTGGGATGGGGTGGAGTAAGAGGGGGAGGAGTAAGAGGGGGAGTAGGATGGGGCGGAGTAAGAGGGGGAGTAGGATGGGGCGGAGTAAGAGGGGGAGTAGGATGGGGCGGAGTAAGAGGGGGAGTAGGATGGGGCGGAGTAAGAGGGGGAGTAGGATGGGGCGGAGTAAGAGGGGGAGTAGAATGGGGCGGAGTAAGAGGGGGAGTAGGATGGGGAGGAGTAAGAGGAGGAGTAGGATCGGGAGGAGTAAGAGGGGGAGTAAGAGGGGGAGTAGGATGGGGGGTAGGATGGGGAGGAGCTTGAAGCTGGGGAAAGTGGGGGAAAGGGGGGATACAAGTGGAGAGGCAGAGGGCGGCAAGGGAGGACGGAAAAAGGGTGAGGAGGAAGGGCATTGGTTGGAGAGCAGAGAGAGCATGAGGGGGATGAAAGGAGAGCGGAGCGTAGAGGGGAGAAGAGAGGGGAGAGGACAAAACGAGAGGCAAAACTAGAGGGTGCATTGACTCGAACAGAGAAAAGAATAGCTGAATGGATGGAAGGCGGAGGTGGGAAGGAGTGAGAGGCTGCACTAGGCAGCCAAAACAGAGATCGGGCTTGCTACCACCTCGCAGCGGCTGTGAGTGGTCATCCACGATATAGCATGAACATGAGAGGCGTATTACAACTGCATGCATATCCAGGAACACTTTTCTGGAAGAGAGCTCGTGAAGTTTCTTCACGTACTACGTAGCGAGTAGTTACATTGGACCCGTCTACACAGGTATGGTTACGCCCGGGTGTGGTAATGCCCGGCTGTGGTTATGCCCGGGTGTGGTTACGCCCGGCTGTGGTTACGCCCGGACGTGGTTACGCCCACCACATATAACCGCGTGGCAATAGCCTTGTACTCGTTATAGCACGCGTCTCAGTACAAACACTGTCCCAGCTGCACGAACTTAAAAACACATGTCTGCTGCGCAGAAACGGTTACACCGGCCAGGTCAAATGAGGTGGTGATGGCCGTGTACCCGCTATTGCACGATCGTGTCTCTGTACAGTCACTGTCCCAGCTACAAATACACGGACTTACAAATACACGTCTGCCCAGCAATGTATTTGCCGGCCAAGGTGAGCGAGGTGGTGATGGGCTTGTATCCGCTATCGCACGAGCACGACCACACGTACTGAGTGTCCCAACTGCATGTGCCGTAGACACACGGGCTATCCTTACAAGGATTGTACGCTGGGAGTGGGGGTGGCATGATTTGGAAACGAAAGAGAGAATTATTAGCACCAAGATTAGTTTTTGCGTCGATCCAAAAGGCAAGGCGTCTCAAATGTAAGTGTCCCAACTGCATGTGCTATCGTTACAAGAGTTGTACGCTGGGAGTGGGGGTGGCATGATTTGGAGACAAGAAAAGAAAAAAATTTCAAGTTATTAGTAGCACCGAGAACAGTTTTGCGTTGATTCAACAGGGCAAGGCGTCGTAAATGTAAGTGACCCAGTGGGGTTCGTAAAGGAAGTGTGAAAACAATATATAGTAAGCCGGAAGAAAATCCATTGGGAGGACGCGGAATTAAAAGGCATATTGATTATGATCGGAAATTTCTGTAGCTTACAACTGAAGTTCAAGTAGATGGAAGTATACAGAAGAACTCAGAACCGCAGCGTCTGCTGACAAGCTTCAATTAAGGTTTCATCGGACACTTCGAGCTCAACGCTTTCATTTCGCACCCCGAACTTGGTGGCGTTTTCTGCATTTCTTTGAAAAGCATCCTTTGACCGGCATGTCTATTTTATGCTCGAACTGACAAACTTGGAAAGGCTTCTAGCCTCAGATAGTTGAACGGGCGAGAAAACATGTGATAAGCTATGGATAATATAATAAAATGTTAGGGTTGGTTCGCCCAACCACGAAACCTACGGCGAAATGCGGAATGACGGCGGAATGAAAGCGCGTGGGAGATTCTAAATCTAAGACGGTGGAAATCGGCCAACGGTAGATACTAGAAGCTACGGCGTGAGAAGCGGGAGAGAAATCGGGAGAAATGGAGGAAGAAGAGTGGAGAAGTATCGAGATTGAGATCGACGGGAGGAAAATGTGGTTCGAGCTCGAGGCATGTTCGAGAAAGTTCGGGATCCGGACTTGAGGAGTGTTCGGTGCATTCGGTTCGGTTCCGTGTGCGACTCGGGGTGGAACGAGACGCGCGCGAGACTGCTTGGGAAAGAAGTTACGTTACGAATCGCATTGTGTGCCTTGCATGCCTATAAAACTGCTTGTAATCATTCTGAAATTACAACATTGGACAACATTGATCAGTTGGAGATTCTGAAAATTGCTGAAGTGTGTATTGACAACTTCAAGCAGAGAGCTGCGCATATCATTGGATTCGTGAGATCGTGAAGAACACGATAAGCAATAGCAAGAAGACTGTTGCCGACTAAGGTGTTTCCGATCCTAAGATAAAAAACGCCAAGTCTGGAAAATGGTAGCAAGTCGTACCTTGTGACGAAACAGCCGTAATTTGCGCGGCGGTGAAAATGGCGGTTGCATACAAAACTATTATTAATAGGCGTCGGCTCGCCCTAAGGCTGTGTATAGTTCCCGCATCCGCCATTGCGCCAAAGCCGAGTTCTTGGAGCGTCTTTTGGTCAGTCGCTGTCGTGAAGTCGCGCCAAGTCATTAGCTCAAACAAAAAGCGTGCCGCACGGGATTATGTCGACTTTCAGAGCTGACAAGCGGACGCAAATGGACGCGGCGCTTATGTAACGAGAAATCCTAAGCGCTGATTTGAAATCAGCGCTTTAGTGAACGAGAAATATCATGAATCGCAAAGTTCGTGTTGAGGGTCACATGTGTTGAAGGAACGTCAACCAGAACGCCCAAAGCAAGCCAGAAACAGATTCTTGAGAATTAGACATGCATGGGAGTGTTGGCAGGGGAAGGGACGGGGGTGGCAGAAGTGAAGTGGAAAGCGAGGGAGGGTGGTGGGGTGGTGTGGGGGAGGGAGAACTTGTTGTCCAGCTTCTGTTCGAGAAAAATCTCTCATTTGACCCGCGTTGACTTTCCTGATATCACTCCAAATACAAGACCTCCTGGGTAGTGAGGCGGTCTTGCGATTCGAAGCCTCATTACAGTCCGTCCGATGTATCGTAGTTTACCAGTTCGAAAGATTCTACGAATTGTAGACAACTCCTTTCCTGATCCGATAACACCAACATTTGAAATAACGCGTGCTGAGTTTGAATGGAAACCTTACATTTAATTATTGACCAGAGCAGAGCACAAAACCGTTGAAAATCTGCCTCCATTCCAACCCCTTCAGCGAATGCTCATTGCACTGGTGCTACCCTGAAACGCCAGCCTTTCAATCATCGCTATTTCCGCACTGAAATTCCCAACTCTCTGGGACTCCACCTCCTCATCAATCCTCTCAGCCATCCTAGACGACACCTTCCCCAGAAACTCCTTCCTGAGAGCCGTGAGCTCAGATACCACCTGGATCATGTCAGGACGAGACACGGTGGGCATGGCCGTGCAGCGCAGCGCCAGCTGCGCCAGCCGCAGAATCAAATCTGCCGGGGCGTCCAATCGCGGGTCTTTTAATTCCTCCGCTTTGCCGGCCGCAACTAACGACTCCGCCTGATGGGAAGGGTTCACAAGAGGGAGTGGGGGAGTGAAGGGAAAGAGCGGGGAGGATGAGAGGTTGAATGGAATGGTGCCTGCCTGCTTGGCATGGAGGTTGAAACCACACAGGCGAGTCAATCACACAGGCGAGTTAATCACACAGGCGAGTTAATCACCCCAGTGTACCTACTTTACTCCAAAACTCCTCCTCCATATGTGCCTCAGAAAATCTTCAACCTCCCCCCTCCCCTTGTTGAAATAGCCAGATCACTTCTTTCCCCGCGTTGCTCGTGAACTCACCCATTTCCTGACGTTGAAATTGTTGCCGTTCTCATCCGCTTTCAGTGCATTGTGGCCGGACATTGTGGTCAGAATGAGGACGCCAAAGCTGGGGGATGGGGAGGCATGAAAGGGGAAGAGAAGTGAACAGGGTGGGAAGGTACGGAAAGGAGTGGAGAGCGGTAGTTTAGTCGACTAAAACAACTTCCCCATTGATTGCCTTGCGGATGAGGATGCCAAAGCTGAGAGGTGCCGCTCGCTCAATACCGCTTCATATCATTCTGTACCTCTCTCCACCACTCTGTAACGGTTAGCACTGGTCTGTACCTCACTGTTCCAGGTAGAACCGTGTGCCCATCACTCCCTCCCAAGCAATCCCTTGCAACACAATACCGGTTTGCACCATATTTTTGAGGCGCCTCAAAAATCGTCTCAACACAATACCGGTTTGCACCATATTGCACTGCTCAATATGAAGCTGTACCGCACTCCACCGCTCTGTACCTGTAGAAATCGGCCATGGGAGTGGCCTTGTTGGAGTTGAAATAAGCGGGTTTCCACATAGCCCGGTATGCCTATCCATTGCACTCTTCCTCACAGGATAAGAACACTCTGTAACACACTGCACCGCTCTGTACCTGTACACATTGGCCATGGAGCTGGCCTTATTGGACTTGAAGTATGCGGAGTCGACACAGCCCGGTGTGCCCGCCACTTTCATGTACTCTCTTCCAGGGCAACACGAGTTTGCACTGCTCTGTACCGCTCAAATGCACCGGTGTACCACACTGCACCGCTCTGTACCTGTACACATCAGCCATGGGGGTGGCCTTGTTGGACTTGAAGTAAGCGGGGTCCACATAGCCCGGTGTGCCCATGATGCGAGTGTCTCCCACCGTCGTGCCCTCGTTCTGCCTCAGCAGCCCAAAGTCTGCCACCTTGGCCTGGTGTGAGGCACAGGGAGGGATTTGAAGGGACAATGAGGGAGGAGAGGGGAAGCAAGGGCAAGATCATGATGCGAGTGTCCCCCACCGTTGTGCCCTCGTTCTGCCTCAGCAACCCAAAGTCTGCCACCTTTGCCTGGCGGGGTTAAGGGAAGGGCATGCAGAGAAAGGGGTTTCGAGGCAATTTCAGGGAGGGGAGAAGAGGCAAGGGCAAGATACCTTGGCCTGGTAGGTTTTATGGTGGAAAGTGCATTCAGGTCAGGGCACACGGGCTAAGTTGGAATATACGCTACTTTGCTTTTGCGTTTTGCGTTTATACTCTTGACGAATTCGTTCGGTGCGTATATTTTGAAAATTCGCCGAGTTGAATTTCGGGCAGACCGAAAAAAAAATCAATCTGAAGCTTGCGACGTGTCGATCTCGATTTTGAGTCGCAGATGTCGCGAACTGAACTCGAATTTTGAATTTTGTGCTCCAAACCCCCTCAACCCCACCCCTTTACCGTTTCACACCCCTTTAAGCCACAGCATTCCACCGCCCCCTTCAACCACTACTTCATTGGTAGGGAGCTCAGCCCAACACAATCTCCCAGGCATAAAGAGTGGCATTTGTTCACTCGATATTCATTCTCTCTCTTCATATTCTAGCTACCTCTTCTCCCCAGCAAACATGGCTGCTACCCCTACAGCAACTAGTTTTCGTTCTTCACCCTCAGAGGCTCCTGGTAGTTCCGCTGGAGGGGCCTCTTCCGTTACGCCTTTGGTCTCCATGGACAGCAAGCACGTTGTGTACCGCCACTACAAATGTACGGCTGGCGTTGGCGACAACGGCACCAAGGTGTGTGCCTGCTGCAACTTCAAGTTCGTAGGCCGAGTTTACCGCTGCGCGCAGCATATCACCAGCTGGAACGGCATGCGCCATCGCGAAGTGCATCTCTGCACTGCAGCGCCGAAGATAGCACATGACGCTGTGAAGGCGCATTACGAGTCCAAGTTGAAGGCCTGTGAAGCGAAGCGTGCGGCTGAAATTGCGGCGGTCGACGCAGTCAACGGCGGTTCAGACAAGAAGAAGAGTCGAATGACCGACTTCTATGGCGATGACGCCGCGTGCGCGAACCAGGCCGCGGACGAGGCCAGAAGCCTCTTCTTCGCCGCTCTTCATGTGCCGGAGCATCACGCGGACCACCCACTGTGGCGGAATGTAGTCTCCAGCATCAAGCGCGCGGGGCTGAATTACATCGCGCCGAAGAGACGCTACATCGGTGGAGCCGGTCTTGCAAAGTGTCGCCAGCGCATTGAGGCGGCTCTCGCTCCAAACTCAGCAAGCTGGCGCCGTGACGGTGTCACCGTGGCAAGCGACATGTTCTTTGACAAGACCGGCCGCCTGCAAGCCAATGTCCTCCTCATCAACGATAGCGGAGCGGTGTTCGTGGAGTCGATTGACACCAAGATGGAGATGAAGATCCGCGGCTACATCGCGGGCATCTTACGCCCCGTCATCGAAAAGGTTGGCCCCGAGAATGTCGTGGCCTTGTGTTTTGACGGCAGGTCCAATTACGCGGCGGCCTGCAGGGAGTTGAAGACGGAGTATCACCACATCGAACACATCCCGTGCGCGACCCATGTCCTGGATCTCCTGATGGAGGACATCGGGAAAATGGGATGGGCGAAGGACGTCGTCACGCGCGGGGACACCCTCATCTCGTTCGTCCGCAACCATCACTTTACCCTCGGATACATGCGGAGCAAGCTAGTGAACGGCGGCAAGGGGAGGCAGGTTCTCAAGCCCGCGGGAACCCGATTCGGCACCAACTACATCGCCATCAACCGCCTCTGTGAAGTGCGCGCCGGCCTGATGCAGATGGTCCTCAGCGATGAGTGGCGCAACTGGCCAACGACAGCAAAGAGGGTAGGGGCAGATACCTTCAAAGTCAACATCCTCGATGACACGTGGTGGACGCGCGCCGAGTTCTTTGCGAAGCTGATGAAGCTGCCGTTCGTCGTCATGCGCAAGACGGACTCGGATGCGAAGGGTATGATGGGTCGTCTCTACGATCTCATGCTCCAGCTCAACGAGGACATCCACGGCTTCCTCGACGAGCATGCGGAAGGGGTTCTGACAAGCGGAGAGGTGGGGGATATTCGGGAGATCGTGCAGGACCGCTGGGACAACGGGCCGGCGTGCGACATGCACATGGTTGGCCGCATCCTCAACCCGAACAACCAGGAAGAGGGCATCTTCCGCCATGACATCGAATGCACGAGGGTCTTCAAGAAGTTCGTGTCCAAGCAGTTCGACAACCAGACCATCACCAGGAAGGACGGGGTCGAGAGCCGCACCTCCCTCGTCATCCAGGAAGGCCTCACTGTCTTCCTAAACCTGACGGGCTGCTTCGGCATGCCCGACGCTATTGCCAACCGTGAGGCAGTGAAGGAGGGCAAGATGACCGTGGTGGCCTGGTGGTCGTGGCATGGGACCGATCATCCCAAGCTCACCACGCTTGCTTGCCACATGCTCACGCTGCCGGTGTCCGCGTCACCATGCGAGCGGAACTAGGCGAAGTTTGATGCCGTGCATGCAGCACACCGGAACCGTCTCGGCGCGGAGAAGCTTCGGGACCTCGTGTACGTGATGCACAATTGGCAGGTTGTGCACAATTGGCACAAGGTCCCTGAAGGGCAAGGGGTGGTAAAGGGAAACATCGAGGAGCCCCTCACTCCGGCTGGCTACAACGTCGAGGAGGAGGTGGAGGAACCTGAGGAGGGGGAGGATGATGTGATGGCCGATGAGTACGGGGAGAGGTGCTACGGGGAGAGGTGCTATGGGGAGAGGTGCTATGGGGAGAGGTGCTATGGGGAGAGGCGCTATGGGGAGAGGTGTTATGGGGAGAGGCGGTAACCACAAGGAAAGTTGCCTCGAACGTCAGCAAGTCAGGAGCTCACCTGAAAATTGGACTCAAGGAGGATGGACGTTGGCGGGTTTGAGTTTCGGTCGCCTTGGGTGGAGTGCGGTGCTGTTGGGTGCATGTCAACACCTACCGGTGAGGGCAGGGAGCGGCGCTCATAAGCAGAGAGAAGTTAAAGAGACAGACAGCAGGGGCTGACCTGCAAGGATGCGGCTCACCCCGAACTTGCCGTCGAGGAGGATGTTAGCGGGCTTGAAGTCGCGGTGCACGATGCCCCCTGTCGAGGGCATAGAGTGGTGCGTATAGCGATAGGAAAATGTGGTATCCACAGAGGCAGGAGGGGCTCACCTCGAGCTTGTGATCGAGCAGGATGTTGGCGGGCTTGATGTCGCGGTGCACGATGCGGGGGAGGTGCTCACAGGGGAAGGCACGACTCAGAAGAGGAGCTGAATACCAAGGAGGACCGCGCAAGTCCGGGGTACAAGCTCACCTCGAACTTGTGATCGAGCAGGATGTTGGCGGGCTTGATGTCGCGGTGCACGATGCCAAAGCTGTGCAGATACTCGATCCCGTGGGCCGCCCCGATGAGCACCGCCATGCGCTGCGCCACCGCCAGCGGCTGTACCGCCCCCTCCCCCACCCACCGCTCCAAGTCCCCGTTGGCCATGAACTCGTACACCACTATCTGCTCCATGCTCAGTTCGCCCTGGGTGGAGTGCGGTGCTGCTGGGTGCATATCGATGCAGTAGCCGAGTAGCCGCACCAGGTTGGGGTGGTGCTTTGTCGCCATGGCTGCCACCTGGAGTAAGGTGGGATGGATAAATAGGAGGATTGTGTGAGTGCGGAAGAGGGGAAAGAGAGTGAGTGACACACTGTTTTCTTACAAA